CAGTCAGGACTGCCTCTCCCCTCTCACGTCTGAGAGCCGTGGAACCCTCTCCAATTAACACCGCAAAAGTCTGGGAGTTTGGGCAGAGAGCTCAACCATGAGCTGATTCGTAGCCAGCTCTTGCCAAAGGCTCATTTAAGACATCTGATAGCAGAGAGCAGCGGCGTCATGTGCAGATTAACCAGCCATTCCACCAGGCTAAGTTGTGGCCATGTACTAAATGGGATCAACACAAAGCAGCATTTGTAATTCAGCTTCTTAGAGAACTCCTTCACACCCTCAAGATTCATGCCCTTGGCTTCTACAGACAGTGGATATAAGAAACATCCATTTAAACAATCATTAGGGCCTTTGGGAAGAAAAAAAAAAAAAACAGTCCAAAGTACTGTCCGTTATGTATGTTGCCCAGTGCTCCCGAAACAAAAAAGCACACGCTATACTCAGCGCCAAGAAAAAGTTTGTCTTTCTCAAAGAGTTCATGCTTTCTTTCTTCAGAGAAGCGCATAATCACCTCTCTTTTTGTCTCAACTCCTCAAAACTTCAGAGGCAGATTCAGCAACTAATTTATCCCAACCACCTTGCAATACCTACTCTTAGAATTTTTTTTTTTTAATCCCTTTTGATCTGGATCTCATTTTTATGTCTCCTGGTTTGTGTTTCATTTTGCAAGCAAACTTAAACCATTTTCCCCTTCAAAGTAGGACATACAGCCTAAGCAAAAGGCTTTTTTTTCACCTTTTAAAAAAAAATCATCACGATCCTCTGCATGCTGCAGTAAGGCCTTGATTTGCCAGTTCTGCTCACACTCCTGCCCTGAGTCTTCCCAGTTAAGTCGAGGAGACTCCTGGCAGCTCTAGCCGCACGTCCACTTCAGCCCAGAGGTCAAGCCGAGCAGGACAAGGACTGCCCAGCCTCTGCCCCGGTCCTGTGATGGCATCTCAGGAGGCTAGCTGATGCTCAAGGCTGGTGACATTTCCATGTAGACGAAAATGCTGAGAACAGGACTGTAGTTCTCTCCAAATCATTCTAAAGACCTCTTCTGAAAGGTGATTCTATTTTCTTTTTATTTTTTAATCTTTTTCTTATTTGGAACAGGGTCTTGCTATGCAGCTTGGACTCATAGTGATCCTCCTGTCTCAGCCTCCTCAGCACTGGGATTACAGGTATGTGCCACCAGGACTGGTTTCAGTGCCCTTCACAAGGCATGCGGTACTGGGGATCGAACCTGGGTCCTTGTGCTTGCCAGGCAGGTACATGGACTGCCGAGCTATCTCCCCAGCCCTATCCTATTTTCTAAACATGGCTCTAGCATTTCCCACACTACATGCCCTTCTTCCTGTGACTGCTGCCATTAAGGGAGTCTTTGGCTATGCCACAGGGAGGGGTGTCTCTTCCATGTCTTTGAACTAGGGCAGCCTCTGGATGGCTGACTAGTAGAATACAGTAGAAATGACCACATACTAGTCTCAGGCATTGCTTTTGTTTTAATATCGGGAATCGAACCCAGGGCCTCATGCTTGCCAGGCAAGCACTGTGCCTCTGAGCCACATTCCCGGCCCTCAGGTATCGCTGTCCAACAACTTCTATTTCCTGCCTCTTGGAAGGCAGCCACCACATACGAATGTGACAATTCTGGAAGACTGTTCTGAGAGAAACTCAAACTCAGAATCAGGGTAAGAAGTCTACCAGAAAGCCATCTAGCAGTGGATCCTAGCCTGAGATGTCCCAGCTCTCACTATGCGCATTAGACATGAACCCGAGTCCTTCCCTAACTCCTGATCCTTAAGATTATAAGCAAAATATAGATCCTTAAGACTATCTAGTGGTTTCCAGATAGGGTTAGGAGACAGCACCCGATTAAATTAACAAATTAATGCACATAAAGTTGTTAGCCCGTTGCCCCGCACGCAGTTCTCAATAAATCGTAATGATTACTATTGTGCTGACATGTGACAACACTGATTTTTGTTATACAGGGATCCAGATTTCTTAAGGACGCTTCTGTGATATTTTGCAGTCACACAACCCGAGATGAACTTCCACTTGGCAAGCCGCCTCCATTTTGTTGTCTTCCTGGTCACTTCTCTGCTGCCTCACGGCCACCTCAGCTGAACGTGGCAGGGAACGAGTACACGCACACGTGTGCATTCCATTCCTAGAGACAGGCGTCTCGGGTCAGGCCAGGCACCTCAGCTTCTGGGCAGAGCGTGCAGTGTGGCGGTCCTGACTAAGTGTCTCCTGACAAGTGTCCGAGCAGCTGCAGGGCGTGAGTCACAGGCACAGGGAAGCGGGGGGTTGGGGGGCAGATTTAAGGGGAAGCAAGGGGCAGAGTGCAGTTGTTTCTTTTTTCTTTTTTTTTTTTGTTTAAATTTTATTTATTT